ACACCCCCGCCCCCTGCCCTTCCCGAGGGCAGCAGCCGCGGCCCGGAGATAAGCGCTAGCACGGCACCGGGCTCTGCCTGGGCTAGTGGCACCGACTTGGGTATGTTTCTTATGAATATTACACGCAGAGCAGCTCTGGGGGGGCAGTGGGGGGTGCTGGGGCGGGCAGGAAGGGAGACTAAGGCTGCTGGGGAAGCGCGGGCCGACGTGGGGGATGGGGCTGAAACGAGGGGAGGGACCCGAGGTGGGGGGAGCTCCTCGGCGGCGGGAGGAGGGTAGCCTCCCCCCACCCCCAATGTCCTCCCTCTCTTCGCTCCTAGGCGTCACTGAAGTCCAGGAAAATTATGCTAATGAGGACAAAAGGCTCTCACAAAGGGGATCTCTCGCCGGGCCTCTATTTCCTAGGAATCCTTTTGAGAAACCACGTATCTGCCCTGGACATTTCCAATTGTGGGGCGAGGGGAAAGAGAAACTGGAGAAGTTGAGTTCCCCAGACTTTGGGCAGTTTACCTCACCTGCCAACCTCAATCCAGACACCCCAAAGCCAATCTTTGGGGAGATTTGGATAAGGCTTTTCTCCAGAGACCTCCCCAAGAGCCACTGGGCTGTCTTTGGTTATATTTTTCGGCAGAAACTGCTGAAATCCTGGCAGCCAGAAGGAAAGTGTCCTGGGGGAGATGTACATTTGTCCCAGTAGTGAAACAGAACGGGCCGGGCTCAAGTACACACAAGAGTGTCTAGAAACGCGGCTCTCCAGCGATCCTGTGCCCATTTCACAGTACAGACACGCAGCTCACCCACAGGGAAGACAGATAAAGCTCTCAACCCAACAGAAACAGACATCCATGATATACATATACATATATATATATATATGTATATATATATATATATTCTTAATTAGTGGGATGGAGGAACACTGAGCTGAGCCGTGGAAACAACCGAATTTGCCTGGTAATAGTCTCTCAGCCGCCCAGGTTCAAGAAGCAAACTCTGCAAGGGTACCAGTGTGGCAAAAAGAGAGAAATGGAGATTTCGTGCAATTCCGAGGCGTCATCGGCGGGTCCTTCTCAAAGGAAGGTGTTAAAAATATAAGTAGTATGTTTAAACTGTCAGGGAGCCAAAGTGTCACCTTAGAGCAAAAACAAAGCCAGGGGAAAAGGGAAAAATCAAAAAGCACTCCGAGCCAGGGTGGCCTCATGCATACCAATGGTTTTTGTCATTTATGGCTGGGCAAGATTTATGACTCGGCGCCCCAAAGCTGTAAACAGAGCACAAAACAGCAAACACTTGCTCCTTATGGCATATTGCGGCGGAGCAACTTGAAAGGGGGAGCCGGGGCCGCGTAGGAGGTGAGAGCCGGCCGCAAAAATCCGCGCTCCGCGGCATTTTCTCTTCAAATCCACCCGGTCGGATGTGGCATTTAAAGAAAGAAGGCGTGGGTCAATAATCAACCCGCACTTTCTCCTCCAAACTGCTGACGCTACTCTCATCGTCTCCTCAGCTAAGCCAGCTGCTGGAAAGGCCAGCTCTCCGTGAGAACCTGCCGGGGAGGGGACAGTCTGGGCCTAGGGGGCCAGGGCGCCCCGAATGCATACGTTTCAACTGGCGCCAAGACCATGCCGGGCAAAACGCGAGCACTGGACCTGAAGAGCCGCGGGAACCAAGGCAGATCTGGGGCGGGAGCTCAGCTCGGGCCAGGGCCTCTATCAACCCTGGACTAGGTGGCTTCTGGCCTGAGGGCCTTAGCGGGCAGAAACGGGGCTCCGACCTCAAGACTAGGGTCTGGAGTCCTGGCACTCAGATTGCCGGTGCCCGGCCTCACGCCTCTCTGCTGAAATCCAAAGGACTGGCTTTGCAGCAAGCGCAGGCGAGATTTTTTTAAAACAATAATTTATACTGGTGGAAGGTTTTTGTTTGTTGGTTTGTTATTGTTT